GGGGATGTGGGAAGGGGAGGGGGATGTGGCAGGGGAGGGGGGATGTTAACCAATAATCATTGCACTCAAGGACAGAAATTTGTGATAACAGTATTCTAGCTAACTTACCTCAGGATCATTGTAAAGCTCAATGTATCCTATTGAGTTATTGCAGAAATATAACCCTTTAGTCTTGTTCTGTAGTCCTATCATTCCAAGGACATGGAATCTAAAGGTTAAATAATGAGCTTGTCTATTAATAATAATCAAATGGTGATAAAGATCATTTTTTTAAACATAAGGCTATTGATATAAGTGTTAACTATTTCAGACAGACCTAAAAATCACTTCAATCTGTTTGTTTCTTACTAACAGTAATTCATTCAACAGCTTTAAAATAAGTCAAAATTAGTAAGACCAAAAGCAACTCACATTATACTTATTGAAAAAAGTTAGTGCAATGTTAAGGAAGAAAAACTCTGAATTCCAATTTGTTTGTATTGACCTGTGTAAGACCAGGAAGCACTGCTAATGATACTTGCAGAGAGCGCGTCAGATGACCTTTCTTAGGCAGATTAAAAATAATACAAAAATTAGAGACAGATCTAATCTCTTGAATAATATCAAGGAGACTTCATATCTTACGCTGATTCAACTTCTGGAATTACTCTTATTCCTCTGTCAGCAGCATAAGATACCAGTGATTTTACTTGTTCTTGGGAGTAAAACTGACTCTCGTTGTTTCTTAAATCTGGATAGCTAAAAGTTAAAAAAAAAAAAATTAAAACTGCATGTTGAACAGCAACAAAGAGTTATCTACATGACTTAGACAAAACAATTTTGGGTGCCATGGCCACAAGTAGAAAAGTACTTTACAGCAGTTTGACAACCTGTGTTCAGAGGTCATTGTCACAAAAAAATGAAAGAGAAAGATTCTACAGAGGCATAAGTTATAAATTAAATTAAGCTGCAATATTGCCATCTGCATTAAGGAACTTACAGCTTGCTTTCAACACTGAATCGACAGAAGTCTGCAAAATGGAAGTGCAAAACATTTAACTTGACAGAGCTCATGCCATCCAGAATATTATACAGAAGTTCCAGGGGAAAATATCTGCGCCTAAGACAAAGAACAATACCAGAGTAAGATTGAACATACATGCAAGTCAAAGTCAGCAGATATGATGTCCTAGCAACAAGCTAAAATAATTATTATAGGTAAGGATTCACAGTATTCCACTTTCTCAATGATTGTGACTCTATGTCCACGCATGTTTGACAAAGCAACCAAAATACAGTAGCTTTCTTAAGACTCAACTTTTTTTTTATTATTTCTTATCTGAAAATTAATTTTTTCCAAATTTTGAGTGACTAAACTTGAGGTGTGGTTTATCTCCAAGTGTAGCTTATGGGCTGGTGTTTGCAGTTCCTGACTGTGCCTTCCTAATTTTATCATTACAATGGTGTATTTTTGTTCATCATCAATAACTTATAAAGAGTACAAATTGAAAAAAAAATAATCTTTTGACTGAATTTAACCCTTCAAACTCCCAGAAGTGATTAACATGAAACTTCCCCGTATAATATCCATACATTATTCAGCAAACAGGTTATGAGAATATTCAAAGTCATCAGGTAGAAACTGCTATCTTGATCTAGCACCAAGTTCTCATAATTAATTTACAAGGAAATGTATAGCAACTAAATGGGAGAATTAACAATCAGATCTTGGGAGTTTAAGGGTTAAAGCTCTTAAACTATTTGTGGCACTGGATTTGTACAATAAGGTATTATCCAATAAAAAAATTGCTGTAAAATGATAAGCACTAAACTTTGAACATTTACCCAGCATCTAGCATGAGGCCTCTGTGTACATATCTGGGTTCATCATCAATCGTCACATCACTATTTATTATATTTCCATTTTCAATTAGCTGGGTGAATGTTTCCAACCCATACCTGCAAGGATAATTGTATAAAAAAGGTATTGGACCAAAGTAGACAACTTTTATTTCAAACTGCTAAGGAACTTACAGATCATGCAGTTTTAAGATTAATTCATCTTAAGAATGACCAGCATCTAATTTCTCCTTACAGTAATGCTGCTGGATCAAAAGATCATGAGAATGAAGAAAGTGATTGCCAACCTAAGAGGCTTTGATTGTTACATGAATTCTCCTTTTCAATACCAAAGGACAAGTGTAGAGAAGAGTATCAAGAATATGGAAACTGATGTTAGGGTTAAAAACCCATGTATGATCTCAAGGGGTGTCACAAAGAAGGCTCATTCTCTTAAACTAGTGAAAACTCTAAAAGATCAAAGGAATTCAGGAAACAATTTCTTATTGCCACCAATAGGGGTCTGGTTATCAAAGTTAGCCCTGTCTGTGGCATAAATGGTGAGCTTCACCCACTTCAGCCCAATGCTCAATGCAACCAACTGAGCTTATCAGTATGTATGCTATCTACAGGTAATTTCTCTTTTTGATAGTTGTTTCTATCACCGGGGATAAAGGGTGGTGGCATACGACAATGTTATTGATTTGAAAAAATTAATTTCTCAAAGGATGGTTATGGTGAATTCCACCCCCCCCCC